TATTTGAGAGAAAATTGATACATGGGATCGATTATGCCCAAGTTCGAGACGACGAAGTACAATACGCTGCCGCGATTGGCAACGCTCCTGTATTCCTCCCGGGCTTCCGAAATCTCCTGCTCGGTCGTTTCCGTCTCCTCTAGCCTCGTCGCGATTATAGAGGACGTTTCCTTACTCTCGTTCAGACTCTCGATAAGCTCCTCGTTATCTAAGATATTACCTTCCGAGCTGAAGAGTGAGCTCAGTATCTTGTTCTCGATGCTCCTTAGTAGGCTCTTATCGGCGTTGATCTGCGCTACAAGCTCGTTTCGCAGTTGCTCCAGTTCCGGTTTCTCCAGTCGAATTACATCCCTGTAACGATCAAGCACCTTCAATGCCTGCATTAACACCGACGCTCATATCATTTTTTCTTCTTCTTCTTTTTTTTTTTTTTTTTTTTTTTTTTTTTTTTTTTAATCTAACTTCAACTCGTCAGAATGCACTAGAGTGTTTTACGATCTATTTAATACTAAACTGTGTGCTTTCTATTTATGATTTCGCTTTTTCTTTTCCTTGCTTTCTATACAATTACATTGACAGTGATGAGTTTTGTATGAGAATGGTACAGATAATGAAGCTTTGTATGTGTGCATTTTTAATAATTCTTATCTATTCATAACTGGCATTATCATCGTGAATTATTTTTATTGAGCGATATACAAGTATTGTAACGAACTCCTTGAAAAGTATTATTTTATTTTTACATTCCTTCCAGGGGACATTTAATGAAATGCAATGGTTTAAAGTATGCTAATTATTATAAAGTAAATATTGAAATTATATTTAGCTACGAATGTCTGTGAAATACGCTTGGAACGAAATATTCAATAAATTATGATTTCGCAGTTGGAAGTGTCGATAAAGCATTCGTTCGATTATATATAAAATGGCTTTACGACTTTCATAAAACGATTTCTCATTATCTTCACAGCATCGCTGTTAAGAAGACTTTCTTATGGGAAAATGAGAGAAATTTCAATCGCTAATTTCCATAATTCTAGGCATTGACAAATTCTAAATTATTGAAAAATTAATGGATACGTGCAATTTATTTTGATTATCTATTTAATTTATAGCAATTCAAGATAAATAAAGACTGAACATGAAGAGAGCGTAGATCAAATTTATTGTTTAATAGCAAGTTATTAGACAATTTTTTAATTATTTTTTTTTCCAATGTTGTATTAGCAATCGCTTTGTTATTTGTATATTGTATTATTATAAAATTATTGTCCGTAATTATAAATTATTGAAAAAGCCACTCGGATAATAATAATCTATGACTTACTTATATTGTCAATGTAATTCGAAAGTTAAAGTTTTATTCGAGTCAATTCAATTCTCATTGAAATATAATTACCAAAATTAATATGTAATCCAAGTCTTCAAATATGTCTAAACATAACATTACATTACCTTAATATTTGAAAGTCATGTAGGAAAAAAAAAAAAGTAAAATAAAATAAAGAATTACTATGCCCTCTAAAGCAATTCCTTCGCACCTATGAACTTAATTAACAAAGAAATTGATATAAAAATAATGTTATACGCTAATAGTTGATCCTCTAAGCCACTTGGCGTCACCGTGAAATTCACAATCGTCACTTTTATGCAGATCTCCGGCAAGTAATGCGGATTTCCCATTTTCGTTGTAATGTACAATCGAAAATTCGTATCATATTCAACGTCGTTTTCACCTAATCGAATAATTGCTCTGCCATCCTAATTAGCGAGAGGAGAAATTTTATATACTTATTGCGAGTCTCTCGTGTAAAAAATAACGGAACACTTCTCTTCATTACTTAAATATGAAATATTGAATTTCTTTACCTGGATAATAAGTTGCTTTAATAATATCGGTTCCAAACTAGGATCTAACGTCTCTCCAATTTCTTGAAGCAATATTGGCGCGCCGGTTCTTATACAAATCTCCATTAATCTCATAAAATTACTGTCGGTTATCTTACAAATTTTTAATTGATTGTCCTGCTCCATATTTCGTATCCATCGATTTGCCTAAGGAGAGTGTGGTGATTAATTATCGATATGAAGGAGCTTATACAAATGTGAAATTCACAATCGAGAGATTAATAAATAGGGACATCTCAATCAATTAAGGGACAAGTCCGAGATGAAGATCATCACCTGCTCCTGGGGATCGATCATGAGGGGCCAGCGTTCGGCTTGCGTCACCAGGATCGCGTTTTCCGTGCTAACGAGATCGCGCGGTAATCCATAAGTGTTCCACATACGAATCTCATAGGGATCGGCGAGAACCGACACGAGACTGAAGTTCTCCGTCGTGCTGATGTTCTGCTCCTGGCAGCGCTTCAGCCACTTGCTCAGCAGCTTCTCTCGGTAGAAGCTGGTGAATGCCCCGAGGTAAGCGAGGCCTCCGGCCGCCACCAGAGTGTCGCCCGCTATGTTCTCTATCTGCTTGTCGAATTCCTTTGGGTGGATCGAAAATTAGTGCTGATAGGGACTAATGGGCGCGAATATCAAATCACCTCACAACTTTTACTCATTCTTTTAAATACTTTAATACGAAAATTGTTTTTTTTTTTTTTTTTTTTTTTTTTTTTTTTTTTGTATTTTAGGACATGCGTACGAGGAAATCGATGCTAATGGTAATCGACGTTGGGAAATTGCGTTAGTCGAGCATAAATTTAAGGGATCTTTATTTTTATCCAACTCGTTGTTGATCATCGTCATTTCAATGTACACACATTATTTAATATTTCCTCGCCTAGCTTTTCTCACATTTTTTTTTCAACGAATGCTTCACGAAGTTTTATTTTAGAATATATGGAACGAAAATTTCTCTACATCCATGTATTATTATTCGAGCATAATCGCCATTGTTCATTTAATGTTTTATTTATTGTAAAATCTGAGAGTGTGTAAACTCGAATGCATGAAAGACCGATTAGATAAATTCTCAATTCATTATTGTTTTTTCTTTTCAGTCTAAAGATTTTTCAATGTCTAAATTAAAACTTCCGACAAATATTGACAAATGCTTTTATATTATAAAGATTCGTCGTTCTGGCAGGATATTTCCTACGTCGTTTATTAAAGTTCTTGTGACGAGGAGATTGGAGATTGGATTGGTTTGGTTAGTGAGACGATAGGGGGGGGGGGGGGGGGGGCGAAGGGAGGAGCGACAAATACAATGCACGTGAAAAAAAAAAATTATTTATTGGTAATTCGTGAGACTGGCTGATGAGTTGAATTGTCAGGCTTTGAAGTATGGCGGATTGCAAGAAAGATCGGAGTAATAAACATGACAAAGCTTCATCTTTGTGTTTTAATACACAGGCGACACTGATAACGGTTTATTAAGATAAGAAATTGAAATAACCATGCAATTATTCGAGGCAGACTGATAAATGGGCAGCAAAAACCAAAAGATATATATATATATATATATATATATATAGCTATTAAGATCGATAGATAGGCGAGACGTAGTGTTATGAGGAGATGCGGGATCCGAAGTGCGCCGGGACGATAAGCGAATGCCAGTATGAGGACGAGTTACAATGATGAGGAGGTGGGTTAGGATGGGGTGGTTGGTGGGAAGGTGGGGGAGGGGGAGGGGGCGGAGACCCGGGTAAAGTAGCGTAATATCTTCCATTCGTAGGGAAGTTTAGTTTCGTTGGGCTGGCCCGTTAAATGACAACAGAGCGATAATGTCAAACGTACTTTTAAATATTTGTCGCTTTACAAGATTTTCGTTTCAAGATAAATGCGTCTTTAAACGTATTTCAGCGTATATTTCAATCTTACGTCATAAATATGTACGATATCGCTATTTACTTAAGATTTAATAAATTTAAATTTAAATTTAAATATAAATATATGCTTTCTACCGTATCTCGAATTAGCGTGGAAAATGTACAAGACTTATTAAATACCTAATTACTCATACCCAATATCGAACTTGGCGAATCTTTCTCCTACTTAACGATAATAAATAATGAGAGGTAAAATTTATAATTGCATCGGTATACGTGATTTTGCCATGTGATACCTGCAAATCAATCGTCTCTTCAACTAGACATCGATTGTTAGAAACATTACGATGGTCGTTAATATTGTATATTTATTGGATGAAATTATGAAAAATGAAAACTTGCTTTTATTTCTTTGATCCATCGAATCTCTTCGTCAGCTAAAGCGGATGTTAATCTTCCAGATCTACCGAGTCGCGACTCGCACAGGAGAATATTGTATTCCAAATTTCCCAAGTGTTTTACCGCTGCATTATATTTATTTTCTAAACGTTTTATCTGCTTTTCCACGTCGGCCAATTCATCTTGCTTTTTATGAAGAATTTCTTCGATCGCGACCAATTCAAGTTGCGCTTCTTTCAATCTTTCATTAAAAAATTTTGCATTACAATTAGAATTTCAATTTTAGTAGTTTATTTTTCTTTTTCCGATCCAACTATTGGCAATAAATTATTTCTATAGTTTAAAAAATAATAATTGCACACTAATAAATACGAATTTTCCTACATAATATCTAAAGTATTGATTAGCACAATTTTCATACTATCATATTTAATTTTCCAGCCCTACGTTAACCATTAGAAATTTTATATTATAAATATTATAAGTCGCAATTACAAATTTAATAGCTCAGGGAATGAGAGACGATTAGAATGTGACTTAATATTTGGTTATCTTACTTTTTACGTTTCGGCTGAACGATTCTGTAAAGTTTCGCGTAGCCATCGATTGCCAACACCCAGATGCAAATTGACTTGCACACTTTACTTTGCTTCGCCACTTTGTCCGGTTTGAAGTTGCGATTCTTTACGTACTGTTGAAGTTTCTTCAAGAGTTTGTCAGTTATTTTTTCTTTCGGGTAAGATATTAAGCGATCGAGAAAGTGAACGTCTCCGAGGACAAGCTTAGCCGTCTGCCAATTCGTTCTGTCAAGTAACATTGATATTTTAATTTTCGGCGTCCGTTTAGCATTGCTCTTTAGTAATGTCCAAATTTCAGTTACTTTTTATTTAAGCGAGTTTAAAATTTACAAAGAATAATGCATTATATCAGATCGATCAAACAGCTGTAATTTTCGCTCGTTTAAATAATTAAATTGTTTAGTTAAATTAAAACATACAAATGTTTATACAAATGTGTACGGCAATTTTAACAGAGTAGTTTCATAAAAATACATTTGTACATAAATGATTTTACTTGCTTTGTTTTCTTTTCATTTTTCTTTTTAAATTTAATATTTCGGCACTCATATGCCGCAGTAAATATATTGTCTTGTCTCTCTTTAACTACGCTCGTTAAAATTTTCAGTTGATTATATTAAAAATTATTGTTTATGATATACTTTTCGCGTAGTAGCAAGCAAACTGCCTCCATTACAAAGCGTACTAATTGAGGCGGCTTATTGAAGACTTTGATTTCGTTAATGTCATTTTTATTTAAAGACGCTAGGGCATTTTGAGCTTCTCGTAAGGCTGGAAGTGCGGCCTCCAAATCTTTTCTAGCTTCTGCCTCCAAGGCCGCTGTTTCGTTAGTTTTTTTCTATATTCAAACAAAATCAACGCTCTATACCTTAAACTTTAGAAACCCTTGGTTAGTTTTATTCCTCATTATTATATCCATTATTTATATCATAAATGATGCAATATGATGATGTCACAGATGACGACAAAAAAAAAAAAAAAATCATCAATGTAGTTTTATGTAAAGCACTAACATTTTTTTTTTTTTTATGTAAAATCGCGTAGATTGTGAGATTTTACGTATATGTATGAGTCATTTTGAATTATAAGACAAGATTTTACAACTACAATGATATTCAATAGACACGAGTGCACATAATTTATATCAATATATTACTCAATAAATACCTTTGCATTAGCTTCGTCTGCGCCGACAATAGTTCGAACCTTGTCGCATTCAATTTGCTCCTTCGCCACAATTTTCATCAACTTGGACACTTCCTCGGAACTTATTTTCAATTGAGGTCCTAAAGCAATTATTTGTACCTTCATCGTGGCAACTATTTCGTGCGTTTCCGTTATTTTCTACATATAAATATTAATTAGCGACGAATCTAATGCAATACTTTTGGACAATATTGTACTCGATAAAGCTCTAGTATTATTACATTTAGCCCATTAGCAATGCGAGTTCTCATATTTCCAATCTTTTCGGATTTTTTCGCAAGTGTATTTAAATAAAGCTTTAATAAATCGAGATAACTACTCGGCGTTGTATAATATCTGCGGCGCATTTCCTCATAAAATCTCACGGTCATTTCTTCCACACTCTATTAATGAGTTTATGTCAGGATTAATTAGGCTTTCATATATTATCTGCTCATATCGATGATATCGTTTGTTTTTTGGTAAAAATAATTATTACCTCGTGCATTAGAACGCAAATCGAGGCTAGAGAATTGACTTTATCATCGTCTTTTATAATGACTGAACCAATTGCTCGAACAGCTACGGAAAGAAGAGCTTCCTTTGGCCATTTGGAAAACCAATCGATCGTACAGCAATTCACCAATGAGGGAAACATGCGACAACGGCGTCTTTAAATTGTCAATGTATCGGTGAAATAAGTGAAATAAGCATAAATTTTCAAGAAATATGAATAAATAGGCGTACGTGCACTGACCGAAAAGCGTCACCGACTGGACTCATGCACAGCATCAGGTGGAGATGATTTTTCACGCGACCGATGAAAAATTGATAAATTCCATCCCTGTTGGCCTCGTCGATGCCTGCATCTTTAGCCGCTGGCCGAGTTAAAATTATAGCCTTTTCCAATTCTTCCGCCTCGAACAAATTTGGTATTTCTCCTACATGTCATTAATAAATCACGTACTTTATGTATAAATATATATATATATATATATATATATATATATATATATATATATAAGTAGGCATGTGTTTTAAAGTATGAGACTCAAAGTACCAGAATTCAGAGTGTTGTTGATGTCCTCGAGAAATTCTTCGAGTACGATTTGTGTATCCGTGAAGAGGAAAGTCGCAGCCTCGGCATAAGCCCCGGGGTACAAGTAAAATTTTCGTAAATCTTCGTTCCATGTAGCCTTATCGTAATTTCGACTGACTTCGATTTGATGACAACTATTTTACAATTTTTTGTTTGTTTGTTTGTTTGTTTGTTTGTTTGTTTTATTTTCCCCCAATAAATGAAATAAAGCATATTTCCTTCATAAAGAACGCATAAGTATATTATGAATTTTAATTGGTCGAAGAGATAACAAAAAAAAAAAAAAAAAAAAAAAAAAAAAAAAAAAATAAAAAAATAAAAAAAAAAAAAATAACAACAAAAAAACAAAAAATAAAATAAAATCGAATATTGTTAATATAATAATAATAATAATAATAATAATAATAATAATAATAATAATGATTTAAAAAATGAGAAAATAATAATGACACAGGTTGAAAGCAAGAGATGGAACAGCATAGCCCAGTCTTTTAGACTAATTGTCTGCGTTTGCCGGATGATAAGTTTTTTTCAAACTAAAATGCAATAAAATGCAATAGCATAGATAACAACGTAATTACGAGAATTAATATACGCGTTTGTAGATAAATGTATTGAGTGAAGAATTCTCTAACCTATAATCGACGCAGTAGACAAAAGAGAAAATAAGAAAATGTCGAACCGGTAATTATTCATGTGCGATGCAAGCCTCGTGAGACTCTGTTTGCCCATGCCACCAACACCAACAAGAAGTCCGTTTCCTCGTTCCGACCTGAGTATTCGTGCCAGTCTACACAAGTGTTCGATCGCGTCTATGAAGAATATCAAGTTCATCTCCTTGGACGCGGTCACGTTATAGTCGTCGAGGTACTGTTGGAATATGTTCTTGGCCTTGTTGAGGTCGACGATCTCTTCGTACACTCGATCGTTGCGTTCGGCTTCGACGACAAGGAAGTCGCCGAACATCAAAAGCGGCGTTTCAGTCATTTCCTCCCCCTCTGGCACTAGTGGGAAGACTTCGTCGTTGAAAAGCTCCACGCAAATGGTCGAGAGAAGATGATAAAAGTAGCTTTTGTCTTGCATATTTATCAGTCGATCGTGAAAGACTCGCAGGCATTCGTGGTAGAATAATCTAAACATCGAGGGGACTCGATATTGAAAGGTCAAGAAAACTATTGTTTTCTCAATTCTTAATTCGATATAGATGATTTCGAGATTATTCGATATAGAATGCACCTAAGGCACACTTATCAAATAAATACGCATTTGCAAAATTCAAATATCAGCAACACTTTTATTACCATATATGTGTCATTTTAACGAGCCTATGGTAAAACTAGATAACTAGGACATTACTTATCGAGATTTGACATATTTGTCGCATGTATGGTAACGAATAATTTACCTGAGCATCTGTTTAACTTCTACAATAACATTAGAATCAGCTTGCAAAACTCCTTGGATGCATTTCGAGAGATCTCGTAAATTAAATACGTAATGGCTTTTTTCTGGAGTTGGCAAAAGATCTTGAGCTATTCTACTGTACAATTCAACCGCAGCATTTATAATGTTGGTTCCCATGTCCTTTACAGGCTGGTTAAATTCTTTGAGAAAGCCTTGCATAATCGATCTGTTTATTAATGTCCATTGTTATTACAAAATTTTGAGCGAACAATATTTATCCCTCGATCTCCACTATATACATCGACGAATGAACGATATTTTTAAATTAAATACATGTAAATGATAAAGTGGTCACTTGCTTGAATATGGATTTGAGAGAATCATTGGTTGGCTGTGGGATGGCCAGCATTCCAAAGTGCCTGACAAATCGAGTAGTCAAAGGATTCCTTCCACCTCCTGGAGGAGCGCAGGCACTTATCAAGACAACATCTTGAATCTTCTTCCAAAAAAGTTTTTCTTTGTCGTAAAATCCTCCGCTGTCTAATATTTGCCTGTAATTTTCAAAAAAAAAAAAAAAAAAAAAAAAAAAAAAAAAAAAAAAAAAAAAACAATTAAACAAACGAACAAACAAACGAACAAACGAACAAACAAACATCATAAAAGAAAAGGAAAGAAAAAAATAACATTAGCTAAACGTGAAATTTGCACAGAGTTTGGAATTGAACGCATATTCTTTTGAAACAACTTTTTACGAGAATATAAATTATTATAGAATTTAATCTATTATAGTATCTTACTATTTGGATATTCGAGTACAATGTATGAATGGCAAGTAGATATTTGAAGAAAATTATCAACATTATATGCTGAAACGTCATGCGGATAATTACAAATTTACTTAATGGCAAATGGCAAATCATTGACCTATTTACAATGGTATTGTAAAGAAATGTTAAAGCAATGTCGTTGAGTTATTTAATCGACTCACCGAAGTAATTCAATTGGCGGCTGAGATCCATATGTATCTAATTTCGGCATATTAACGTCATCGACAAAGATACAGAATCGTTTGCCTATTGGTGCGCCGAGCACAGTTTTCTTTTTTTTATCGAGCTTGAGCTCGAGAATTTCCTGTGTGCGTCCACTGCTTGTTTGGGCAGAGAAATTCAAGACTATCGACAGCCAATTACCAGATTTTTCCAAATTACTTAATACCATTTTCGTAACAACTGATTTCCCAACACCTGTAATGCACCCCATAAATTACTTGTGCTTGTAGTGATTAAAAACAATTATTAAGACGATGATGCACGTAACGGCTTAAATTTAATTTAAAAATTTTTTTTTTCACTCTCGAGATGTCACAAAGAAAAAAAAAAATAAAACAAAGATTAATCTATATATATATATATATATATATATATATATATATATATATATATGAATTAAAGTCACGTTAAGAAAACTTTAAAGATTTTTATGTTTTATTAATTTCACCAAAAACTTTCTATAATTGATTGTAACTATCAAATATATTGTAAAAGCTGTCGTTTATCACGTTTCCTAATTTTTAACGATGAACTTGCTAAACTTAAGGTAAATCATATTACAATAATTCCCAATTCCCTCGCTACATCTATAACATGCAAATACAACAATTCTGTAAGTATTTTGGCAATACCAGTGTCTCCAGTGAAAAGAACAGGTTTATTGACCTCGATAAGCTTCTGCATGATATAGCCAAAACAGACAGTATTAATCGTTGGTACTAGAATGTCGAAAAACGGTTGCTCAGGTTTATATTCGAAAGGTGCAATTAGATTTGTCCAAGGTTCTAATTTCTGTGTATGGGTATTCATATAAATGTTCCACAATTCATCAGAGGCTGATATACTAAAGAAAAGACATGAATATAGTTAACGAGCAATATTATTTCGCTAATTATTGCACTTTTTATTTATTTATTTAATTACTATATCTAATTATATTTCATTACGATAAAAAGGCCTACGATTTTCGATTATCTTTTTTTTTTTTTTTTTTTTTTTTTTTTTTTTTTTTTCATAATCAAATTAATTATTAATTTAAATACATATGATTTTTACGTACAAATCCATTATTTTAACATTAAAAGATAACAAGTGGAAAAATAATTTATAAAATTATGCATAATTGTTGGTGACATCGTAGAGCATTGTAATTTAATTTTTTACTTTGTTAATTTCTATATTTTTTTTGGTTTGTTTACAGTGTTGTTTAATGGTGTAGTAATATATGCTAGAAATAATTCAAACAATAATGAATTTACGATGAATTTTATCGAGATTTTTTTTGTTGTTGCAATCAATTAATAATGGAAAGCTGTAAATTTTTGTAAAAATGGATAGCCTAGCTCACTGCAACGACAAAATTATTAACTTACTGTGCGTCATTATTTTTAAGAAATTGTTTTTTTATAAAAATTTCAAAAGCCGCTTGAGAGATTTTCGTAATATTTCCACCAAGTGACCACAAGTATGAAAAAATAAATGATTGCGTGATGAAAGTTTTCATTTTCGTCGAGTCTTTCTTCACTTTCTCGAGGACCTCTTGCTCCAAAATTATACTTTGCAGAAGGGCGCACAGCATGTCGACCTTACTTATTTCAACCTGTAATTTCCACAAATAACATGGACAATTTTAATATATTTGAAATTTCAGTGCCCAGCATGACTTTCGGCCGATCGATAATTCTCTGCAATTGATTGCTATCGCACGGCTACATGTTCATTATACATTTTATCCAAGAACGTTATTAAAAAAAAAAAAAAATAAAATAAAACAAAAGAAAAAAAAACAAAAGAAAAGAAAAAAAAAATAACGTACGAGTAATAAAATGATGAAAATATCGTGCAAGTACGAACCTGTGCTATGACAGAGTCGCAATATTTTTTGATGAATTTGAATCCATCCTCGACGTAGGTTTCGAAAAGATTTAAAATTACACTTTGCACGGCTGGTTTCAATTTTTCCGCGAGCATTAGTAGCCAACTTTTAACGCGCGGTAGCCACTTAAGCTCGGAAGGATCGAGGTAAACCATACCTGAAATTGAAAAATGAAAAGGAATTTCGTAGTATCTTGATAATAAACGATTGATGTTGTTGTGTAAGGAAGGGGACAGGCAAGTAACGTTTGTCGATAAAATCAAATTGATATATCCACGTATATTAATGAAACTATTAATTATAGTGGCGAGTATGGTACTTGAATCGTATTTTAGCTTTGAAAAATACTTTCTCGTCAGAATGAGCGGAGAGAGTGAGAAATTTTGTGGAGTACCGACCGCAACGACTGACAGTGGCTGGTGAAGCTTGTGCTAGGTCAGCAACTTCGAAAATCATGTGAACGTAAGGCGTGAATTTAATTCGTTCGGAATTCGCTAGACAAAGCATCTTATTATCGTCGAGAACAGTATTCATGTTTTCAATCCATACGGCATCGACAGGACCGTCACAAACGACCCATTGATGATCTTCCGTGGTGAACTGTTTCGCAATAATAGATTTGCCGTTTAACTCGGGTAGAATGGAAATTCAAATTATTCAGATTGGGATTTAATTTATTTCCCTCGCGATATAATAAAAGTTATTGTTTAACGATTTAAATCAAAAGAGTGAGTGAGAGAGAGAGAGAGAGAGAGAGAGAAGAGAGAGAGAGAAAAGAAAAAAAGAAAAAAGAAAAAAACAACCACATAAGCAATGCTATTCACGTAGAACGTCATATTATTAATATTCTCGAGCTACCCATTAATACATTTTCCAAATGTATTATAATCTTTATGCCTCACTACAGTTTGATTAAGAATAAAAGTAATCATTTATAATCAACGTCCTACCTCTCACCATAATATTATATTAATTTTTTGTTCAAACAATACTTGCTTATTACAATTACAATAACTTACTGCGCATGCGTGACGTATAATAACACCGAGTAGTCCATCGTGCCATTCGTTTGATATGGCGAGAACTTCTCCATATAATTCCCCAATCGTTACAGCTTTTGGATTGAGAATGTACATGTGTACAGGCTGATAATATTGATTGGAAACTCCCAGTTTATGAAGACGTGTGTACGTATTTTTCAATGTCTATATGTATAAAGGATTTTGAGTCATTAGGAGAATTTTTAATGATTATTCTAATGGTTAAATTCTTTGATTTTTCAAGCCAAGAGTTTACGTGTAGCACAGTCGACTTTCCAGATCCAGTGGGTCCGACTAACATAACGCCGTGTCTCACTCTCATGGTTTCGTGCAATTGTATCACTTTTTGTAGGGAGCAGTATTCCGGTTGTAACGATGCTTCCTGCATTATCTGGCAATTGAAGTAAAGTCAAAAAATTGTTCGAATGTTGCTTAATCTCGGTACTGCTAATATTAGTAATAATCTTAGTAACACAAAAAAGAAAAACATATGCGACGACCAGCAACATATAATTTTGTGATATTGAGTCAAATTTATACGGTTATGTAATACTTATGAAAAGCGATTATCATGTTAATAAAAATTAACAACAGCCAACGTTATATTGATAATAATTGCTAATGTTCCTTACGGTAATGGCAGTTTTTTGAAGAATGCCATAGTCTTCCGCAGGAATAATAACACCTGGGAAAAGATCCCCTAGAATGCCCTGGAAGAGTTCGGCGTCATCGGCTAAGAATTTCGGTAAATTACTGTCTCTTAAAGCTTTTATAAGAACGACATCTTCTTTTTTATCAGGATTATCTCTTTTTAAACTTCCTGCCATCACTAATACGCTTTTTACTGCCCTAAATGATATTATCATCTTCATTAATATTATTATTATTATTATCATTATTATTATTATCATTATTATTATTATTATTATTATTAGCGTTTTGTGATTGTTGTTGTTTTAAAAGTCTATGTGTCATTATTTCCTATTTTATAATAATTTTAATCTAAATGCTAGATAAATTATTAATAAAAATTTGTTTTTAACACCATAGATGACTATCAAACGTCGTAATGATCATATACAAATAAATTAAAATAAAAAAAAAAAAAAAAAAAAATCATCAGAAATAAAAAGTGTAAATATGAGGTAAAATAACGAATGAATTTTGTGTTTTACTAAAATATATATTTTATGAATACCTGGGTAAATAGAAGAAAATTTTGCACTTATAAAATATGTATCAACATTGAACTTGAATTTGATTTTTTTAAATAGCATATTTATTTTAGTAATTCTTAATATCGAATTTTTCGTAATATTGAAGCGAATTGATAAAATAATACAATTAATTTGTAATCAATAAAATAATTAATTTGATACCTCATTCCGAAGTCATAATGATCTTGTTGAGATAATTGTTCGCTACAAAGTGTGTACATTAACGTCATTTTTACGGATAAAGACTGCGAGGATTCAAATCCTTCGGAATATAATGTAACTTCGGCAATAAGTTCTAAAATATATATTATTTTTTACAGCGGTATTCCTTACAAAAATTTCATTATAAATTCAATTATTACGCAACAAGAATATTATATATTCTAGTGATATGTTTTCATTTTACAAGCTCGCTTGATTAAAGTAATCAATTTGGTAATTAATCGAAGCCATTTGTCTCGACAAATACCAACATTCGTACACGATCACATAGCAGGCAAATAATATTCTCATTAAAGATTTATTTAAGCATTAAAATTAAAAGCACAGAGCTCACTATAATCTGGAACCATCATCGAAATCGGACGGAATAATGATTTTAAATTATCCGGTAGTTCTGTACGTCCTGCATAGCCAGGATTCATCGTAATAAAAGCAGCGCAGGTTCTAACGAGTTTGATTTTTCTTCCCTCAAACATGAATCTATGCATTGGTTTGTAAATATATGTAAATTTTACTTTAAACACACGACACTCTTCAGCAAATATATCAATGTATTATCTCACTCTTTGCTTTTGGCAAGTTTTGCATTTCTTATTGTGATTAGTTGTTGCGCAATGACAGAAAGTACCTCAATATCAATGCGATTAAACTCGTCGAAGCAACACCAGGCGCCAGATGTTGCGAGCCCAGAGAAAAAACGCCCCATCATCTATTTTTAAATGTTTTTTTTTTTTTTATTTTTTTTCATTAATCGTACGTTTATAAATAAGTCGATTCATAGTTTTACACGGCAACCACCGAAGCATCTGCTATACGAATTCCTCAGATATTATTGTACCATGCAATTTCTTTTTCTTTTCTCGTAACGAATAAAAGCAAGAAAATTTGGATTTTAATAATACGACGTTGACTTGATACTAATCGTATTATGACGCACACATGAATAAGCATAAGATTACAATGACTCGGATTATTACAATTAAATGCCATTGAAATATTCAAGATGTAGGATTAATGTCAATTTGCTTTTACGAAAAATCATTTATTGATATGAAATAAAATTCATTTCAATAATACTATTTAAATTAACATTTCACAATTTTCTCATAACGCGCTGAATATTTGTAATGAATTATAATAGCCAGTGCTGTTCAAATTGTCCGATTGTCCGATGAAATGATAATTCGGCGCAAACTTAACCAACGACCATTGCTTATATAATAATTCACTCCAACTATTATAATTGCCAATAGGCAATAAATATAGGTTCTATAAACTCGGCCGATGAAATATTTTTGACATACGTACTTTGTAATCGAGCCCTTCTGAACAGTTAAATACTACGCATTGAACTGCCAAAGCCTTTGCCAAATCTTTAGTTGTTTCGGTTTTTCCTGTACCGGCAGGACCAGCTGGTGCTCCACCTAGACAAAAACATGAATTCCGTTTCATATTTTTCAATATTTCGACAATGTCGATGGAACTCGATTAACGCCCTTTCGTTGAATCGCAAATTTTTTAATGTAAGAGCTGTAAATTAAAAGCAACAGGTAAAAGGCAAAAAATAACATATACGGTGAATAAAAAATTGTTATTAATTGAAATTCGAGTTGGCTTTGGTATTGGAGTGGAGGGCGATGCAGACGGGAACGTTTATTGTTTTATTTTATTAAATTGATTTTCTTTTCCTTTATTGTGTTTTTTGTTTCAATGCAAGGCTTATCTTTGGTAATGATTTATTTAGTAAACGAATAAGTCATCGCTTGGGTATGGCTGATTAATTAATATAAATCAAATCGAATACAAGAGATTACATTCTTAGCATTTGCATCTATTCGCACGAACTTCCTTCGTGACTATCGATAACGATTGCGCACGACACGTAAGAAAATTAATAGATCGAGACCTAAATCCAATTGCAAGGCTCCCATCAAACAGAGATAGCATTTGTCCGTAAGAGGAGTTATAACGAGTCGTCGCTGAGCTCCGAGGTACTCGTACCCATAAATGTACTTGGTATTGCTCATTCGGGCAACGCAATTATCAATCTCCTCGTCCCAATAATATCTCAATGTTTTCGTCCAGTCGAAGCTCGAGCTGCGCCAACGGAAATTATTTCGAGTAAGGATGCGAGCAATAATATATATATATATACATTATTTACCTCGAGGTTACTTGATTTTGTACTAATATTGAAATAATATCTCTTGCGTGTACATCGACGGTTATAAGATTAATGATAATGTCGCGCACAAGCTTTGGCAATTCTCCGCGAACCATTGCTGCTAATTTGTTCAAGTCCTTTTCATAATTAATAATTCAAATTTAAATTTCATTAATGATTTATGTACAAATAAATACGTGGTAATATAACTTATTTTTTTTTTTCTACAATTGACTGGAGATTTGACAAAAATAATTTACCTCGAAGCACTTTTGTTCGAAATTTTTCATTTTCCCTATGGCTTTTATCTTATCATGCAAACACTCGTGCACGTATTGAGCCCAATATATTTGCGATACAGTTAAAACAATCTAATAATAATAATACAAAGGCAAATAAATAAATAATATACAATATAAGTAAAGGATATATTTTTTTCAGCCTGTGTTTAATATTTCGTGCTTCAAATATATAATTTTCTTTCCAAAGATGGACATTCAGTTTTTAAACGAAATTATAAAATAATCGACAATTATTAATAATTAATACTAAAATAAATAAGAAATAATAAAAAATTAAAGAAAATCTTATTTTATGTTAATTGATTAACTATTTGAAAAATAACATGTCTAAGCGTTACTAATATTAATGATTCAAATAATAAGATAATAGCATCGTCGAGTCAGGCATTGTATTAATATGACTAAAGTTTATTGTTGATAATCGTAAAAAAAAAAAAAAAAAAAAAAAAAAAAAAAAAAACATACTTAAGGACACGTGCTGCGTTATTATTGTTGTTGGTAAGCGAAAAAAAAGCCTTGCACATTTATAAAAAAAATTTTGTTAAGCAGGATGACCGATTCAGAGACTTTTTAACGACCGTCGAATTTATTGCTTAAGGCTTAGGCGGGAGAATGCATCGGTCAATAATCTTAAATGACAACTCAGTATTGCGAATCAGCCCTACTTCCGCCGGTTCAAAAGATTTTCCATTTTCAACCGACTCATTGGACTGCCAGGCTAATGGAGCTTCGCATTCGCAACTTATACAACCTGAGAGGGATAACCCCAAATCAACGCCTCCCTGCCGTTTTTTCGGTACTCCTCCAGTGCCGCCATCATTTTCTTCTTGAGACTCTGGAACATGGAGGCCTCGACTTTGCCCAGCCAATTCTCGACGTTGCCTCGAGCTTTCAGACCCATGCTGAGCTTCACCCGCTCGCCCTCCGGCGATATCATCGCTATTATATCGTTTGTAAGTTTCGTCTCACTTTGTTGATCGCCTTGCCAGTTGCTGTTCATCGATCCGAATTCCAGCCGGAAAATAGCGTCGAAGCACTTTTGGAGATGCCTTTGTACCGCGTGGGGATTTCTCGTCTACTTCGTTCGAATTATTAAATTATTATAGATTAGATGGTAGATTAAAGGTACTTGGTATACGATATGAAGGTGAGAGTACGAGCGATTTTTAATAATAACATTGCTGGAATTTTATGTCGACTTAAGATTATTACATTTTTCGATCGAATATTTTTTTTACAAATCTAACATCGTCCATCGATCGATCAATGTAAAATTATAGGATAAAGTGTCTTTTGAGATCTATTAATTGTTGGCAGACCTTGTGGTTCAAAATGATCGCTAATTCCTACCTGCGCCAAGATTTCGAGGAGTTCATCGTTGGATAAGAAAAAAAATCGAGGAAAAGCTATTCGCTTCACTTCCAAATACGCCTCGAGGCATTTCAATATTTTATCGAGATTTGTATTATTGAAAATCAATTGCTCGTATAATGTTGGCTGTGTGCAGTTTTCTAAAGCCAAGGGCATCTAAAACGTAATGCATTCATTATCATTGTTATTATTACTATACATTCATTCATTATTGTTTAGAATAAAAACATATAAATATTATACGTATAAATGTGTGTTAAAAATAGAAGAAAAAAATTAAAAAATTAAAAAAAAAATAAATAAATACATTTTTATTTTTAATTGTAAGCCAGCTTTGTTCCTTCATTAATCTATAATCTATGATGTTAAGATATTGGCATTAGTGGGTCTTATTTCACACGTTAACTGATAAATTTATTATGCACCTTTTCAGTTTTTCTCATAATATCTTTCCAAGATTTGTCCACAATGTTGAACAATTTTGACTCGATGGGCAGTTGCCTCTGTATGTCCGGAGCGGAAAATATGGCTTCCAGATATACCCACTGTTGTTGACAATATTGCCACGCTTCCTAAATACGCCATTAATATGAATTAAAATGAATGAAACGCCGAATAAATCAATAAATATAAGGATAATGGCTGGCCTATTCCTTAGCTGTATTCCTTACTAAAGTTTTTGCAAAGAGATCCAATCGCCTTAGCCAATCGTCGACTTTGGATTGAATAAATCCTACGTGTCTCGATGAGGCGATCGTTTGTATGTTTATATTACTGTCGTCGAGGGTTGCTTGAATTTCTTCCAGTGAGCCCAACACATACACATCTTTCATGTCTTTATGCGGTAACACAATAAAGTCTATTGTTTTCCATCCCGCCTCGATCTTATTCAGCAAAAATTCGAGTCCAGCCTCCGAGCTTGCCGCATTCGCGATTTCCGTGAGTTCCGTGGTATAACCGAAAGCGCCAAGCTGCTGGAACGACTGCAACGTCATCACTTCCTCGGGCACAAATTTATAATTCAGAAGCTTTTCGATTTTTAACCAGTGGCGACTTTGAAGGTTAGGGTTGCGAAGAGACGCGATTATCGGCATTTTATCTTTCATCATTTCAACTTTTTCTGAAACGAGTGGACGAGAACAGACGATTTGCAATATATATTTTGGCCAACAATTTGCCAACTTTAGTGAGAATCTGCATTCAAAACTATTCAATAATTAAAAAAAAATAATATAAATATTCGGTTATATTTTATGAGAAAATCTTAACGACTAACTAACATCCTACCTTTAAGCTCTAAAAGTATATTATTGGAGACCAAGCCCTTCTCGATTTGAATGATATTGTTTATATTTTTCATAACAAAGTTATTGATGTCCTCGACACTCAGGGTATTGAAATCAGCCGCATACCATTCGGTAAATGCCTTATCCCACTTATCCAAACTGTCCCACATAAGCATTCGTAATTTCACGTCATTAACGACTTGCTCCAATATTTCAAAACGCGTCAACTGGAGATCGAATATTTTCTGATGAAAATTGTAGATATTTGCGAGGCTCGAGCAATGTATCATGCGATTATTGAGATCTTTCAACACCTCCAGACAGTCATTCACATTACTATTGGAGTCGAGAAGCCATGGTTTCTAGAAATTTCATCGAATCACAATATGAGCAGGTAATAGAAATTTATAGGCAATGACGCGTGGGAGAAAATAGATTTTATCCATTAGATCGGTTTGGGATACGATTGGCCAATTTTTGCTAAACAATCTTCTGCCCTGCAATGCTTAATTCTCGCACATAGAAGCGCATTCATTTGTTAATTAAGGAGAATGAGATGAAAAGTACTTTAAAGAAGAGCAAAATTAATATGCAATTTCATACTCATACGAATAGATTTAGATTTAAGATATTTTTTGCTTTACATTTTAATTAAGATCAATGAAAATTAGATACACGCATAAGATATGTCATATTATATCAAATTAATTTATTATAACGTGTAAGCTAAATAAATTTTTCATTTTTATATTTTACGCCTAAAATGCGAAATTTTAAATTTAATTATTCATTAAGCTCATTGACACTCGGTCGCTTATTTTTCAAATTGCAAATTCGCGCATTAAATCTATTTTATAGGCGAAACCTGAAATCTTACCGAAACTTTGTCATTTATTACTTGAATATTATCGATTAGAATATTTATATCCTTCTGCAATTGTTTATTAAAACTGGTAATTAATTTGTCTCTCTCCTCGAGACATTTATCGACTGAAAGTCGTAATGAAGTAAAATAGACGCTAATTTCCTGAAATTACAGTGTCAAATGGAAATATCATTAATAATTATCATTTAATAATGAAATATTAATAATTCTTTTTTTTTTTTTTTTTTTTTAAAGAAAATCACCAAGTAATTTTTCATATCGTCCGGCGGTATAGGAATCTTATATTCTTCCATGATATCATACAATTCCTTCACGTAATCCAGCATCGATTCCATTTTATCGACTTTTTGCGACGATCGATCTATAAATTTTATATACTCCACGTATTCTTCCGTAGTTACCGGCTTAATATTTAAATAATCAATGGATTCTCTTGCTTCGGTCATGAGACTGTCCACTTTTTCTTTACCAAGACTGTTTAAAATATATTTTATTTAATGAAAAATTGTAGAATATTGATAGATTTATAGAGGTAATAACGCTATGATGACTATAATGACTATTGTGAGAACGAATGAGCTTTAAATTGCCAAATTGTATTCTGTATTATTAATTAAAATGATTGATTAATATGAGGATAATTGGACATGAAATGATAATAGCATACTCAGGCAAAAAATTAATAAGAATATCTTGTTTCAAATTTGGCGCTGGTAATGCAGAACTCTTGAATCTCTGAAATTCGAGATAAAAAATGCCAAAAGGTTGAAAATCGACAATATTTTTTATCTCTCTTTCTTCGGTACGATAACGCTCGCATAAGTTACGAAAAACATCGGTTGACTTATTCTCGTAAATCAGCTTCTCATCGAAATTCATATCTTCTATATAGAAATCGTAAATATGCTTAAAATGCTCGCAATATTTCTTAATCATGTAAAAGTTCTTTTCAAATATATTTTCAAATCGATTCTTCAAGCTTATCAGGATCGGGTCTTCCTTCATAATATCTTGAATATTTGGCGAAATGCCGTAAGATGGGACCTCTACTTTATTATTGATCATAGGTCTAGAAGTTGTGTAATACAATTTTATTAATTATTAAATCGACTATTATTTACGCTAAAAATTATTTGGAAATGAAAAACAGTATCGCAATATTATATTATGTAACTTTGAAGCTTGAAATAAGGAATTTTTTTTTTGTTTTTTTTTTCTCTCTACCATCATTGCACTATAATTTTTCGAAATTTTTCGTAATTTTTCGTTTTTTGTTTTTTTTTCTTTGTTTTTTTCTTTGTTGTTGTTGTTGTTTTTTTTTTTTTTTTTTTTTTGTTGAATGAAAATTTCATAGGGAATATACGTAATTTTAAACGAACCTCGTGAATGCATAAAATAATTCATCGGAATATAATGGATTAATTGCACGCAAATGTTCTTCCCACAATGATTGCATCGTTGATAAAACATACCCAAAAATATTTTCCATTGGATCCAATACGATACCAAGTTCTGAATTGATTAATAAATCTACTCGAAAGTAAGGTGACTAGAATATTTTAATGAATTTACAATCATTTAATAAGTCCAATATTAGTGTTGGGTCGATTAAGGAATATTATAATAATTTTCGTTTAACTTTTATTGAATCGGTTGCCGGATTTCTATATGTAAATGAATAATCGGCGTTTAAGTGCTTCAAGTCATCTTCGGTTGGCAAGGATTCCGTATGTATTTCGAGAATTTCAAGAAAATCATTATAAGTATTGCGTAAAAGATTCTGCATCATGCTCAATTGATAATAATCATGCAGGTAAATAAAGCTATGCAATTATAAAACAAACATTATATGTTAATAAACGTCAAAATGATATTATTGCAATAATTACGTTTATACGTATCATTATTAAACTTATTGATATTTATTCTGTTGTAGTTGTATTCGATATTAAAAAATAAATTTTAATTAAAAATTCTATCTATTTTATATATCGATGCTATAATAATGTATATTATTATATATACCTAGAAAATCTATAACATTGTGCTTTTTTTCTTGCTTGCTCAGTGTAACTCATTTTCAGTTCAACATTTTTTGGTATTTGAGCTTTATCACCTGTAAAAAAAGAAAAAATTTCTCTTTCATCTATTATATAAGCGATTATAGCGAATTATATAAGCGATTATGTACTTATTTACTTAAATTTCCATATACGGTTTGCTCAATTCTTAGGTTCGTATCGTTCGGTGTAAATCCAGCATTCAAAAACGATTTTAGACAAATATTGTGTAGAATAGTCGCGGATGTATGTCGAAATGTTAGAAGTTTATGAAAAACTAATTCGAGTCTAGCAAGCTTAAAACGAACATCGGATTATTTTATTTTATTTTATTCTGTCATTATGATAATTTTGTAGATTTATAGCCAAATAACCAACTTGTATTTCAGTGAACTGAAAAAGCTTCATTTGTTGTTTTATCTTTGTATCAATAAAAGATAAATTGAGAAAAATACTGCTAAGTTTTTTAATCTCTAATATGGTTTCATACAATTTCGAATCACAGAAAAATAGATTTCTTTTTATATTATTCATGGCACGCTTTATTTTCATATAAAATATAACTTTCTTCCAAACGTAAATGGTTTTCCATTTTCGATAAATTTTGAAAGTCTTAATCTATCATTTTCAATTTGATCAATGCATAGGGATGAATAAATTTTGATTTAATTATGCTTAGAAGGACGCTTAGAAAGCATTTCAATTACCTTGGTAAGAATAACATATAATTTATATTCTTGTTCCCATAGGTCAATAGGCGTAAAGTTCATTTCGGGTGGATTGTATTGCGTAATTCCATTAGCACCAAACGTCATGTAAATTTTATCAATTTGTTTATATGGTACTACTCTGTGAAATAATTTTTTTATTGTAGTACTTTTAATAAATATTTTGACGAATATTGCGATATTACATTTGTGAAATATGGTATAAAAAGATATATAAATGAAAAATATTTTATTCATATAAATTAGGATTATATTTGTCGGCTGACATTACTCATTAACTATATATATATATATATATATATATATATATATATATATATATATATATATATATATATATAAATTAAATAAAATAGTAATAAATCCAAGTTTTGTAATTTTTCAATAATTTTTTCCATTTTGAAGGAATTATTCCCAATACACGTTTAAATTAATTTTTTTTACTTATTAATAATTAAACATAAAATAATTAAATAATTGTTTAAATACAAATTTCATTTCATTTACGTCTTTTGCGATTACTAAATTATGTCTATAATAATAATTATAATAACAGCAACAACAATACGAACAATATAAACTCGTGAAATAACGACAAAATATTTTGATTGTTAATGTAACTATTCAATATACAAATTTTAATAAATTAATTAAATTAAAATATTCCATTATTATATCTACAAGGTAGAATAGCAAATTTTATCTTCTATAAAGATTTTTAGATATATATAATGAAACTTATTCACAAAGTATTTTGTTAAGAGCAGTTTTAAAAGACTTTATTCATTTAAGATTTATATAATAATAGAACAAATGATTATAATAAATAAACGATTCGATGGATACAAAATTTCCAATTGTTTAAAGTTTAAACTTCTTAGCAGGTGATTGAAATTAATCGATTAATTTTATATAAAAAAAATTAATTACTTACATGGATTTAACTAGATATCATGATATTAAGAGAATAGAAATATTATTTCATTTGCTAAATTACAAAGATGACAATGAAATACAATTGATATTTTTATTTTGAGTAAAATTTAATTATAGCTTATTACTTGAGTGCATATGGATTGAAAAATTCCGATGAACGATCAACTGCGTAAATCATATAGTAAAATCCGATTTTTGGATTAGATTTTAAATTTTTGATCAAGTCCAATTGATCGACAAAGACTGGTGATTCTAGATTTTCAGTAGATCTGGCTGGCGAATCCATCGTTATTACTTTGCCTTTCGGATCAACACAAACTGCAGAAATTCAGCAATATTGTTAATATAAATATTTCATTAAAAGTTTATAATAGTCGATATTTCATTTAAAATCAAAATTGACATTATTATTGCAATAAATTTTGTTTTTCCCTATATTGTTGTATTTTTTAAATTACGCGAACATAATTATTGGAGCTTGCGTGTAAGCTTATTATAGGAGCTTTACATTTTTTCGGCCTCTTCTTAATAAACGTCTTTTTGCGAGGAACTTCGTACAATTTATCCTCGATCTCGGGTATTGGAGTGAAGGCCTTGAAAACCTCCTGATTAGCCTCATATCGTTGCTGGGAAAATTCTCCCTGTAAAATTTTTTAATAACAATATCGATGAGCTGCCGATTTGAATTATCATGCTGATTAGTTTATAGAGATTAATTCTTATGTACCGTAGGCTCCTCGACATCCCTTTGTCTCTTGTTTGTCCTTAACTGGCCTTCTGGCGTAAGATATCTGCGCTCATTTTCCCATGGAATTCTAGATAATTGAATTGACTTTATCAATGGATGTTATTTAATTATTATTACGATATTGCACGGAATGTCCTCAAAAAAATTTTCAATTACGAACTGCTTAGATCTGTCCGAGGGAGTGTATTGTAATCTTTTATTCGGCCTGTCCGTATGCAAATTCCTGCGTACGTAAGTTTTATCAGTTTGCAGGCGGGAGCCACTATTGGAGGAATTCAAATCCTCGAACTCCCAACTATTTTCGCTCCCATTGGTTTTTCCACCGAATTTCCTTAAATCCATTGTACACGCTTGCGTTAACCTAATAGCAAACAATTATTCTATCATATAGGCATGCTTTTGAATATTTGCTATTGGAATGGTTATGAACCGGGTTATGTCACACGTTTCATTTGCATCGTCGGCGAGAGAACTGAAGTTGGCCGCTCAATCGCATCTGCTCAACAAATGAATTATCCTCATAATGTTGCAAGTGCAGGAGCAGCGCCAAGGTGCCGAGGAACTGGGACGGCTCGACGATACGTGCGCGTGGACTCGATAAACCGATCCCTTGACTCGGCTTGACATTTTTACGAGAATAGATTAAATTTGGCGACTTAAAGTACATTTGGATTATTCAGTTGATACTCGTATCGATATAATTTTATGCTTGACAATGAGCATTTTAGCGCCAATCTTTCCATATCTATGAATCTTCGATCATTATTATTTCGTTAGAAATTTACATGAAATTTCTTGGATGTATGATGTAAGATGAGGGAATGAAATTATTCGGATTTTCGTTTTCTCAGACGAAAATTGATTATACAATTTGTGTTAATATCATTTCGGTAGTCGTTACAAGTATTCATGATATTCCAAGTGGCGTTGGTTTTATCGATTTTTAACCGAATTTTAAGAAGTTAATCGATCAAAGTAATTACAATTATTGATGAAATATTACGATTAAAAGTCCAATAAAATAGGGGATAGATTAATCGACGAAAAATTATTTATCACAATTTTAATTATTACTCGATAGTCCTTTGATATTTCCTTTGGAAATTATCTACTTCTAAAGTATCTAAAGCTTTGCAAATACGTTCAATCGCGTCTTATCAGGATAATTAATATATTCATCAGTATCAAATTAGCAGGTAATAACATATTTCTGAACATTATATTGAATTCATACGAATAAGATACAAATTCAAGGCATAAAAGGAGTCTCCTTTATTATCTTTATTACACGTTTATATGCATAAAAAGTGAAGAATTTTGAAGTCGATAATCTGACGTGTTTCATGCTGCAATTTAGACTTTACAAATTCCATTTGTAAGTTGCAATCCGTTTTTATAAATATAACGAGTACAAATGGATCGTACATACTTACCCAGTATAATTCACACGAATAAAATGAATAAATCGTTGCTTTAATGACAGTAATTTAATGACAGTGGCTATTAATGATAAAATTTGTTGATCAAGAGTCGTCAAATGCACTACCAATGCCTGCCACACATATAATTCACCAACATATAATTTGGATTTTATGAACTTTATGTCTTATTCGATATTGCATTGATTGCATCGACACATTGAAGCCGGGAAGGGGAATTGGAAAAAAACTTGAAAAATCCTCGTGGCTATCCAACGTAAAGAATTAAGCGAACGTAAAGAATTAAGCCCCAAGCGGATGGTCGTTGGGAATGGCTCGGCTTATCTTATATTCTACTGGTCTCATTTTTAAAATAGTGTTAGCGTTCCGTTTTAAAAGTCTCGCGTAGCTGGCACACGGTCAGCTAAAAATATCTCACCCTCGTCTGCGTCGAGCCTCGAGCCAGCGGTGGCTTTTCTCGCTCGTTCAGTCTTCCCACGGGATTGCCAAACGAGCGCGCGCGCGCGCGCGTACACTCTTCCGACCGAGGGACCGGATGTCGATGCCAGTCAGTCCGCGCTATGAAGCGCAAGTGAGAATCGCGTGGAGGTGATGACCGAGACGGTGGATGGGGAGGACGCGTGGCCGCGAGCGATGATGTCCGAGGAGGCGCTGAGCGAGAAGATAACGGCCGAGACGCTTCGTAAGATCGCCTCGAGCGAGGAGTACGAGGAGAGTGAGATACTGTGCGTGGCCGAGTACCTGGCAGGTATCTACGAGTATGACTTCGAAAGGCAATTTGGCCTCGTCATCTCCAACGAGCCGTCAAAGAGTCGTGCCCTGGCCAAGGTCAAGGCCATCGAGCTACGCGAGGATCCGTTCTTCGCGGTGTGCAGGAACGGGGCGAAGCACTGGGTCTGCTTCGCGATCGTCCACCTGTACGACTCGCTGGTCGTCCTGTACAAGGACTCCCTTGGCGCTCGTATACCGGACAAGCTGCGTGAGAGCATCGGGGAGCATCTCAAGAGCGAGAAGATACGCTTCGAAAGCCACCGGGGTACGGAGCAGAGCGACGAGAGCAGCTCCGGGCCTATATGCCTTAGGAACCTGCAGGTCTTCATGAAGGGGCTGAAGTCGGAGCTCATCAAGGTGAGTTCGGCCTTCGTGGTCCTGGCATTACCATAAGCTAATTTTACACCTTTTTCTCCCAATCGAAACGACTATTCGAAATTAAATAAACTCACGGTAGATCGTAAAGATATTTTTAACATTGTTTATTGTTTATGGATAGCAGTACCGTACTCTCGCGCGTGCGATGCCCGTACTGTCCGACGTTATTATTGTTAATTCTCGGAAAGAGATTTTGTTTTCGTTGCACGACTCCCTTTTGTCATGGCAAAATCCATAAACATTCTCTTAGGCCGACTTTCAAATTTTAAACTTACTTATGATTTATCCAACTAATCTTCTCTGTCTGTCTGTCTGTCTCTCTCTCTCTCTCTCTCTCTCTCTCTCTCTCTCTCAATCTCAATCTCAATCTCAATCTCAATCTCTCTTTCTCTCGATGGTCCCGACAGTGGATTAAGTTTGATAAAATAGCGGCAGAACAAAAAGCTAGAAACTTTAAGGAAAGAAAAAATGTTTAAGGTGCCGCTTGTCGAGAAGTACCAGAAGGTGCGATTCTGCTCTCAATATGGCGTACAAAGCGTCAAGAGAGAATTTCGTCTTTGGCTGCAGAAGTACCTTCTCTCCGGATTGGAAGAGGTGGCAAGGGAGCTCGTTGACGACGAGGGTTACGAAAAGTTTCGCAACTACCTGTGCATATTTCTCGAGGTCTGCTCGAAGATATTGCGAGAGACGTACGTCCTGTCGAGCACTTACACGTCGTTGCTGAAGAGCGACGCGAGGAAGAAGGATCAAAATCCGAGGTACGAGACGGACCACAAGACGCTCAAATCACTGAAGGATGCAAGGGAGAGTTTTTACAAGCACACCGAGGTTCAGAGGTCCTTGAAATTCGATGAAAATGACTTCGTCGACATGGGCAATGGCAACAAGGTCTATAATTTAGATATACAAGAGAGGTCTGTGATTTACGTTGCATTATCGCTACGATGTCCCGGCAGATAATTAACGGGCATAAACAAATAACTTTCCTTTTTATCTTTTCCTTCGCACCCTACATTCATACACGTGCGAGCATTCATCTTCCCAATTGACAATTTCATATGAATTTCAAACTACACAATAATAGCAATTGAAAGCATTTGTATCGCATTTTTATCGTAATAATTTTTTTAATAACTTTCGAACGTAATTATTTAAGCGCTAACGGCACTATTCATCTCCTGAGCATATTTATACTTTTAGATTTCCGGAGCAGATGCAAAAGTTCACGAAAATATTTGCGGTTTTGGCTCAAGCCGAAACGAACGAGGAGCTGGAGAAAGTGCTCGTTAAAATCAATCGAATGTTAAATTTGGATTACAATAACATCAAAATTTATTTCGAACGGCATAAAATGCCAAGGCGTCCGGAATTTACGAGGGCCAACCACGAGCCAACGAATTCCCCTCGGAATTTTGAAAAGGGATTGGATGCTGCAAAGTCCAAGTGTGATGCAGGCAAGGTTTGTCCCTTATTTCTTATTTCTTAAGCTCGCGATCGTTTATCTCGGCTAATTCGTCACTTCTTTAACACGAATGGCGGACAAAGGGTCTATTCTATCAAAGAGCTCCATTGTCGATTAACATAAATTTGCCTCAATGGTAAATGTGCGCAGCCCAGCGTGGGTGGCCAATAAGCGTAGTAGTAGACCAGTAAGTAGGTGTGTCGCGCTTGTAATTTAGGAAATGGGCCAGAAAAGAGACGCGGACGAGAATTTAAAGAGCTGGGAGCAGTTGATGTCGGAGCTCGTTCTGGACGTGCAAGAATCCGGCGAGGAAGTCGAGTCAGTGGACCAATCGAAGGCGAACATAAGCGAGAGCTTCGCGAGGATAAAAGAACATTACGACAAATGGGCGACGAGGGGTATCCCCGAGATTGGCGTTTACGCGAGCGCCTGCAAGGCCAAGGAGAGGATCTTCGACGCCGATGAAATAAGCGAGGCGATCGCGGTGATGGACCGAGCGAACGAGTTGGCCACCGGTGGTCAGCGGCTTCGGGCGCCCCAAATACTCTCGGTCCTCATCTTTATCAACACGGCCGTCTCTTATCGGGGGAAGCTCTGCCAGATCGAGAGTGGCGAAGGTACGTACGCGTCCGTGAATCTCGACTCCCTCCATCGTCGTCGAGTCTCATCATCGAAAATACCTTTGACTTCTTCCTCCCCCCCCCGCCCCACCCCCACCGAATGCAATAAGAGACTCTCTACGTACGTACTTGCTTTAACTATAATTTTCTCGCTCAATTATTGATAGGTAAGACGGTAATAGTCTCGCTCCTCGCTACAATAATGATCCTGCAGGGTGAGAAAACGATCGATGTCATAACGAGCAACGGCCTTCTCGCGCAAGATGGCGTAAACAGTAGAAAGTCATTTTACTCGATATTCAACATAAGCGTCGATACGAATAGAACGGACAAAAGCTATGCCCAGGGCTCGAGGAAGTGCTACCAGGCCGACATAGTCTACGGGAGCATAAGCGACTTTCAATTTGATTATTTAAGGTACATGGGAGTACAAGCTCGTAAATTGATTATTTCTACGGCTTTGATAAAGAAATGCGAAAACAAGTGTTTCCATAAATTTAGATTGGTCCATAAATTTAAATTAGTGGCCATGTGGATTGTTATAGTCGTTATCAATATAATGGGTATCAATAATAGGAAAGTCCCATTTTTCTTTATTATTTATTTATTTATTTTTTTTTTTTTTTTTTTTTTTTAAATTATACGAATACAAGTATCCCCGGAAAGAGTTGTGCTTGTATGTAACGTGTCGAGTCAATAATTATCAAATCTATCATTCTATCATTCGATTGCTATGACAATATAAGGATTTCCCGCGAACAATCACTTTGGCGAGAAAGGGAATCAGGGAAAATCGTATTTATCGATTGCTGCATCGATTATTGCCCCTTCAGGGACACGGCGGAGGGCTTGGGGACGATGAGCGGACGTCAATTCGGTCGCGTCATACTCGACGAAGTGGACAACATGTTGGTGGACAATGGCCGACACATAGCGAAAATATCCACCCCCTTTCCCGGCATGGAGAATCTCAAATACATTTACCTGAGAATCTGGAGCGAATTGTTGATCGTCGAGTCGGAACTAATGGACGATTTCCAAGAGAGGCTGAAGGAATTTTCAGTTTATGATAATTCCAAGGAGATGGCCGTTCGGGAATTCGTCAAGATTTTCGACGCGTCGATGATCGGCCGCATGGAGGAGCGAATGAAGGAAAACTTGAAGGTCCAGTATGAAGGATAAGCTATCCTAGCGTGTAATATTATGCTCCACTAACAGCCTCAGCCTCCTCTCATCCTCTATCGCAAGTAGCCGCGTCATTTTTGCTTCGATAAACCGGAGCCGCGGCTTGGTAAAAATGGCGAGGCTGTCGCGTTAATATACCTCGGTGCCCGATGACGTAGCGCCCTAAGTTTTTTCCCATCCCTCTGACCCCGCAGGACTTGAGCATGAAATTCGTGCCGAGCCACTGTCTACGATACGCCGAGGGCATGATCCCCAAGTGGATCGGGAACGCGATTCGGGCCCGCTACTTCATCCACGAGAACGAGCAGTACTCGGTGAAGGAGGTGGAGGGGCAGCTGGTGATCGTCCCCGTCGACTATAGCAACACGGGCGTCACCCTGAAAAACACCGTCTGGTCCTACGGGCTTCATCAATTCGTCCAGATGAAGCACAACCTGCGGCTCACACCCGAGAGCCTCACCAGCAGTTGCGTCTCAAATTACGCCTACATTGGCAAGTACGGGAACAAGATATTTGGGCTGACGGGGACACTGGGCTCGAAGGCCGAGCAGGAGCTCCTCTCCTCGATCTACAACATCGATTACGCCCGGGTACCGAGCTACAAGGTCAAGCTGTTCCGAGAGTACGAGGGGATCGTCGTGCCGGACGATGACTGGAGCATCGAAGTCGTCCTGACGACTATTGGACTGATTCGCAGTACCGGTATGGGGAGTCTTGTTTTAATTTATCTTTCATGAAAATGAAATTTCCTGCCATTTCATAGTAATGTGTGTGTCGAGGGACTTTTCGGAAATACTCAAATATTTTCAAATATTCCTAAAATACTTTAAGTAACGATCGTTCACTTTGAAAATAAACACCGCTCCACGTGCTTAACGACTTGATAAAGCAACATCATTGTTCGGTTGGTATTTCAATTCATATTTAACAACAACACGCAATCAACAACAACAATAATAATAATAATAACAATAATAATAATAACAATAATAATAACAATAATAACAATAATAATAACAATAATAATAATAATAATAATAATAATAATAATAATTATTATTATTATTATTATTATTATTATTATTATGACGATGACGACGACGACGATTTACGTAAAAGTTTCCAAAATAAACAAAGTTACTTTTATCCATTAGAGTTTATGGCTGAAATATTTATTTCATTGCACGAATATTCAATAGAGAAAAAAAAAATGAACCATTTCAAAGGAAGCTTTAGACGACAAGGATAACAATGATTATCGTATACCGTTGTGCACACAGGACGAGCGGTTCTGATAATTTGTAAGACGATAGCCGATCTCCTGCAACTCGAGGAGCTATTCGATTCGACGAAGGATCTGCCCTGGGACTGCAAGATCCGGCTAAAAAAGTTCCAAGACGAGGACATGGCGGCCGTGACGCAGGAGATCGTAGCTCCCGGAGATGTGATCGTGGCGACGAATATAGCCGGTCGCGGTGCCGACTTCAAGACCTCGTCCGAGCTCGAGGAGATGGGCGGCCTCCACGTATGCGTCGGCTTCTGTCCGGATAACGAGAGAGTCAAGGATCAGGCGTACTTCCGCACCTCGAGGCAGGGAAATCGCGGCTCGGCTCAGCTCCTCGTCCGCGAGAGCGAAATAAAAAAGCTCAACATCGACACGACGAATCCCGAGGCAATTGACTTTGGCGAAGTAAGAGAAGCCTCTTATTCATTATATCTCTCTATATCTCTATTTATCTTGCAAAGCGTTAATTTTAAGCTCCTCGAGGTGTGAGATTTTCCACTATTTTCTACCTGCCTGCCCCGCAGATCAATCGGAGAATCGACATAATGGAGGTGGAGAGGCTAAGCGACATCAAGAGGTCCAAGGTTGACGTGCTGAGGTACGAAGACGCTCTTTTCGCGCTTTTCTCCGATCTTTGTCAAGAATTGAAGAACAATAATGTGATAACCTGGGGCCACTCGTACTTGATGAAGGATCTTAAGGAGTTCTGGGCCTTCTGGCTGGAGAATCAGAATTTCGAGGGAAAGAAATTTTCAATGAAAGAGGCCAGTTTTGTATTCTACAAATTTAAGAATCACGAGCTGACGAGAAAAATAATCGATGGAGCGATATCCCACAATCCATTTTATGGTGTTTTGCAAGCCGATTTTTTCCTTAAAAATGACGAAATGGAGAAAGCAAAGGCCGCCCTGGTCAACGCCATCTGTTTGAGTAAAAATGCTAATGTTATGTACCCAGGTAAAAGTCAATCTCAATTATTATGAATAAGTTTGATATTTTCAGGCTGTTGGTCTATGATCATTCAATGGATGATTGACGAACGACGCGTGTGAAAAGTCTTAACGTTCCCTTTGCAGCATTGCAAATTGAAATTAATATTAAATTCGGTAAAAATTCAATGACTTGCCGCAGTCGATAGGGTGTAACGTCTAAATAAAAGCAGCCCTAAGACAAATGTCATCGGTTCGTTTAACTCATAATTCGTTTAATATTTAGCATTTATCACGCTTTTTGACTCGACCATCGAAGAGAAAGGCCCCTTACTATCCAAATTCCGAAGCTTTCTATACAAAGTCTTCACGAGCGAGTCCCACGTGGGTGAGAAGTGGAGCAAATACACTTCCGAGATACTGGAATATTTGACGATTGCCCATACGGGACTGACTCAGGAGATCAATTATTTAGAGAGTCATTACTTCAATGATGATTATAATGAGGACTTTAAGCGCTTAATAACGTCGTCGGCAAATCAGAAGGAGAATTTACTGGTTAAGCATTTGATAGCTAAGCTTACTTGCTTGAAAGTTCATCGCGGTAATGTGGATGCGTTGCTGGAGTATCTGGAGGCCGCCGAGGCACAAAGCTTAATCATTAGCAAGCGAATGTCTGATTATTTGAAAAATTTCAAGCCCGAGACGAAAGAGGAGAAGCAAACAAAGAATTTGCTGACGGATCCCGAAGTTACGGAATTAGGTAATGAATTTCTACGGATTTATAATTCAATCGTTATTAGATTGTCATCAGTGGGAGAATGAGAGAAAGTGAAGCGTCCCGTTGCGATTCTTTTTGTTTGTCTCGAATTGCAGGTGCTAAGGGGCTGAAAACGATCTACAGCCTGAAGAAAATAGCTATCGTGCCGGATTCGACATTGGCAAAGGCGAAAACGCAGATACTCGGAGCACTGACGCTCATGGCCCGAGCAACCGCCTTTCCGCCCTTGAATTTCGTCGTGGCAAACGTCGCCGGTGTATTGGTGGCCGAAGCCGTCGCTTCGATAGTCCTCGCTTTTTTCAAAGAGACCAATAACATCGACGATCTGCTCGAGAAGACCGAGTACCTGAAAGGTAACACTTACCGAAAGATCACCCTAGATGTCTTTAGGCACCATAAATCATCGCTTTGCCCTTATTATTATTCAAAAGGGAATGAAAAGCTTTGATTTGGCTTGACATTGACTACTTCCCTTAGAGTCGACAATTACCCCAACGGTCCTAAAGCTTAAATTAATTTTAAACTTCTCTTAATTATAGGCAAAACATTGAATTACATAATTAGTCTCATGGTTTCCGGCCACTTGAACATGGACGTTTGCTCGAAAATATTTCTACGAATGGTCAGGTGTTACAGGGAGTCGTACTACTTGCTTGAGCGAGCCACCGACAACGCGAGACTCCTTAGGTCCGTGAATTCCACCCACATATCGAATATCGCGAGACTCCTACTCGATAACGGAGAGTACGAGTCGACGAGTTGGCCGAGGAGGATCTACGTGCCCGAGGCCCTGGCTCCGCACTTCTTTGAGAGCAACGTCGCAAGCACCGTCATCGGCTCTCTCGTCGAATTTATCGTTGATTCTCAGCAAAAAGGTATCATCTTCTATCCATCTAATCCCAATGGTCGAATCGAGCGAATTTCGATTTTCTCGATTCGTAATAACAACAACGAGAACAACAACAAAATTTCAGGGGAAACTAGGAACGATGGAAAAGGCAAGCCAAGCGAGGCGACGAGACGCGCAGAGTTCCTGCTTACTCCTGGGGATTCGCGGCTTGTCCCGAAGGCTCAGATCTACTTAACCACTGTGTGCCCGAAAAAATTCGGTGGCTCCCACGAGAGCTTACGTTCTCACTTCCCTAAGAGCGAAGAGTTCTTCGCGTTCAACGTCTTCCCCGCAGCGTCCTACTACGAAGGCACGCCCTACGCTTCCATATCCAAATCCCAGATGCCGGCCATAGCTATGCTCGAGCGAGACTACCGGGCACTTCGGAAGCTGCGCTTCGAGGTCACTGGCACCTACTGCAGCAAGCAACGCGAGCTGCTCTGCAAGGGCGAGTTTTGGCTCGCCCTCATTAAGGACATATCGGATATCCTCGCCGTTTCGGCCCTTTATCGATCATTCGGCAAGGAGTTCGCCAATTACAGCCTCGCCATCGTACAGATGTTGCTGTACTGCAAGGACGAAAGCCTTTCGGGACTGACGGAGGCTTCGGCCGTCTTAACCAACGGCCGACTCATCAGTCAGGAGCAATATAACTTGATCTTGAAACGCTTTAAATTGAAGCACGAGATTTGCTAATTCACGAAATCCTCGTACAAATTGATACATCCACGGAGTTAGCGAGAGAGATAAGTAGAGATAGAGAGATAGAGAGATAGATAGATAGAGAGAGAGAGAGAGAGAGAGAGAGTGAGTGAGTGAGTGAGTGAGTGAGTGAGTGAGTGAGAGTGATAGGGGGGGGGGAAGAGAGGAGAGAGCAGAGAATCACGTCAATCATGTATATTTATATTTATGTAATAACATAGAATATTTATATAATAAAAGAATTGTAAATGCAATTTATTAATTTTACTTATTTTGGTTACACATAAACTCTTTTCTTTCATGGCGAATGAACCGCAACTTCGTGACTCTAAACGCAATAAGTATCATAAATGTTATCGATATTTATTTTATTGGGTTTCTTCATTGTTTGTTCTTTAGATGTCTTTAATATCCAAATATATGCGAATCTTAATACAAGTGATACTGAATGATAGTAAATATTGAGAATACTGTAGAATAACGAAAATAAAATAAAACATTTGCGTAATAAGCAAAATAATTCGTATACATATAAAGATTCTAATTTTCATTGACTAAGCGTGAAACAGGAATAACATTTATATCCTATTTATATCATATATCCTATTTATATCATTATTGTTATGATTATTAATGAACGCCATGTATGCTTAGAATGCCCATAAGCGTAGTGTGCCAAGATGTCATTGAATAATTCGTTAAATTAACATTAGATTTTAACTTCTCAGTGTTATATTATTATGCTTATTGCGGTAATATATTTTAATGAAAATATTTATTCATTCATCGAGGCAAATGAAACCGTGAGAACGAAGTAAGCTATGCATAATATTATAATTAAATAATGAGACGAGCGCGAATAAAGGATATGTATATCGGATTTAATAACGCAGAGTAAGTATATGGTGGTGAGAGAATGCGTATTTTAAAATATCATGATAAGTCGGTTTCATAGATTATCGATCTTAATCATGAGATACTCTAAAGATGGAGCATTATCTGGCTTTCGTACGTATTTATTTTCTAAATCAAGAGAGAAAATATTGAACATATAAAATAACGTGTTATTGTAAATACATTCGATAATGATATAATGTGAGTATGTTTGAGTCTTCAGTTCGGTTCGTATTACTTAGTTTACTTACTCTCACTCATGATAGATAATTTATTGAAATGTCGAGTTTCATCGAGTTCTATACGTTGGGGAATATTTTAATCACATAACAACTTTGTGGTAGTAATTTATCAGTTATATTACTATAATTAATACAATTACCATATATATATATATATATATATATATATATATATATATATATATATATATATATATATGTGTGTGTGTGTGTGTA